TGCCTTCTTCTTTGCAGCCTGGAGTTTGGCTTCTCTGATCTTCTTGTCGGAAAAATCCATCGCGGCATGCCTTCGGCGCGGCCCCCATGAGTGGCCCCTGGGGCGCCGGCGCCCAACGTTGGGCCCCCCGCGTGCGCTTCGCGGGAACTCTCGGCCCCCCCCGCACTCCCCTTTTCCATCTCCTTGTCCTCTCGATCGTTCTTGGCGGCGCAATATCTGGCGGCGCGGCCGCGCCCCCCGCGTTTGTAGCCCAGGGGCCCTTGTCCTGCGCCCATTCCCGCGCCAACTTCCCCTGCCTCGCCCTTCCCACTCGCGCCGGGCCCGCCAGTTCCAGCCCTCGCCGCAGTATCTGGATTCGCCCGCGTTCGAGCCCCGCCCCCCAGCGCAGGTCGGAAGACGGAAGAAGGCCCTTCCAGCGAGTTGCAATTCCCCCGCCCCCCCCCCCCCCAGAAATAACGAGCCGCAGCAAACGTACATCGATTCTTGAAGTCGGAAAACGCTCGAAGAAGATTGGCCTCGCGGGGTCAAAAATACAGACTTCCAACGGCCAGCGCACATCTTCGTCGTTAACTTGACCGGTCTCCATGGGGTCGAAGCCAATCCTTCTGCCAGTCGCCGAACCCATCACCCCCGCGCATCAAAATGACTCTCAAAGCACTAAGCACTGAATGGCAGCGACAACCAGCATGCGTTCCCGTGCTTCTCTAAGGAGCCCACCATCGCATTCCAGTGTCCAAGCTGGGTCGCCACGCTGTTAACCTTCATGGGTTTTCCTGGATCCATGGCCAGGTTGACCTCGCGTGAAAGTGTGACTCTTGGAGCGGCCGAACGCCGATTTTTTGTTTTGCGATGAGCCCTTAAGCCGTCTCCCCAATGCAAGCCCTTGGAAAATGCCAACGGCATCTCTCCTTCGAGTTAGGTGTTAACAAATGCCAGAAAACCTTGTCCAATTTTGCATAATCGTTTTCGTCGAGTTCAGAGTATCCTTTCGCGTCGTTTGTTTGTTTCTTGGTCTGTGACAATTTGTCGTATTCGCTCCGGTTTTGCCTCCCGTTCGTAAGCTATATCAGTTCGTCCTCTTCGGCATCAAGAAACGCCTATCCATGGTCTCAGATTTGTGATTCAATCGATCAAAACTTTCCGGTCACCATGCATCACTTGGGCAAGCCCAGTCAACCATTTGGCGACTTCTCGATTGTCTTGTTACTTTCTGCTGGTCCCAAACTACCCCCGGCACGCGGGGCAACCGCAGCAACAACTCTGTCACTGTCGCCGTCAAGCGTGGCGCACTTACACCCGGGTCACGTCAAGTCAGAGCAGATCGGTGCCAAGGATCCCGAGAATGTCTCAATCGAAATGTGCTTGATGACATCGCGGACAACGTCTTGTAATCCGGAACTGTGAAAACAAATCTCGAGCGAAACGGGCCAACGCACATCAATTCAGGACACTTCGGAGTAGCATAGGTTCCGTGGGATGTCTCAGGCGAGTCGTGCCTGAATAGCTTGCGAACCACATCTTGGAACCCAGAAGTGTGTCTCAGGCGAAACGAGCCAGAGCACCTCGCGAGCCGCATCTTGGAACCCAGGGGTGTGAGTTGCGAGGATGTCTCAAGCCCAGCGGGCCACATAACCTCAAATCAAGGCACCTCGGAGCCCAGGGATCCGAAGATATCTCAAGCGAAACGGGACTGAACACCTCGCGAACCGCATCTTCAACCCAAAACTGCAAGGACGTCTCAGGTCAAACGGTCAGAGCCAAGGATTCCGAGGATGTCCCATGCGAAACGTGTCTGAATGCCTCGCGAACCACATCTTGGAACCCAGACTTACGATCACGTCTCGAGCGAAACGAGCCAAAGCACCTCAATTCAAGGCATCTGGAAGCTGGGGGGTCCGAGGATGTCTCAGGCAAACAACGTAATGATAATGTCTCAAGTGAAACGGGACTGAGCATCTCAAGAAAGGGCATCTCAGAGCCGAGGGCCCCGAGAATGTCTCAAGCGAAACGGGCCTGCACACCTCGCGAACCGCATCTTCAATCCAGAATTGCGAGGACGGCTCAGGCCGAACGGTGCCTGAATGCCTCGCGAACCACATTTTGGAACCCAGACTTGTGAGAACATCTCAAGCGAAACGAGCCAGAGCCCATCAAGTCAGGGCATGTCGGAGCCCGAGGCTCCGAGGATGGCTCTCTGTGGGCCATGGGGCGCACCCAACTCTTTTGAGGGCGACCCCTCCCCGGCACCTCCCCAGCACCGCCATCGGGGTTGCCAGGGTCGCCCGGAGCTGCCACGGGCGACCCAGGCACCCGGGCTCAGGTGCACTGCCCCTCCGCCAGCCAACGCAAGCCCTGGATGGGGCCCAAAACAAACCCCAAAAATCAACCGAAGTGGCCAGCGAAGACCATACAGCTACAAAACACATCTCCACCCCGTAAAACAAACGGACAGTTCGAGACATCCCCAAAATCTAAGCGCGGACGGGCGCGCGACACACCCTGCGTCGGCAACGCACCAACCCGCATCACCAGGCACGATCGACCCGCGTACAGCCCTGGCGACGAGAGGTGCCCCGAGAGCATTGAAAAAAAAGTACACTATTGACACCCATACGAGCATTATCATTCCTCCTCTCGTCCTCAGACATGCTACTCCTCCACCTCCTCGTTCTCCTCTCCCTCGTCCTTCCATTCCTTTTTCGCTTCGCACTCCTCAACGGTTGCTCGGAATTGCGGTGCCGTATGAGAAACTGGCTTGGCCCCCTTGCGCGCGGCATCTCTGTGCCAAGAATTGCGGGGACGGCTCACGCCAAACTGACCGGATCACCTCGCGAGCGGCATCCTCAAGCCTAGCGGAGCGACGATGCCTCAACCGAAACGGACGAGGCAAACTCAGGTCAAGGTGTCCCAGAAACCAAAAGTTTGGATGATGTTTCAAACAATATGGGCTGGACCACCTCTCGCGCAGCGCTTGGGGGCCCAAAATTGCGAGGACGTCTCAAGCGAAATGGGCGGGGCCATGTTAAATCTGGTCGTATCGGAACGCAAACTTGCGACGATGTCACATGCGAAACGGGCCGAACCACCTTGACATGTGACCAACGTCTCGACGCACAGGACCCTCGGGCGACGTTCGTTTTATCGCCACTGCCCCCCGGCACCGGCCGGGCGACCCGGGAACACTTCAAGACAAATTGTCTGAACGGAAACAAACGAAGAATCCCACCAGCCCTCTGGGCGTAGGTGGTTCCGGGAGTTTCCTTTTCCATCTTCCCTTCTTCCCCTTCTGGGAGGGGTTTACCCCTCCCCCTATTTTTTTGGTTTTACTATGGTTTTGGCCCCATTTTGGCCTCCTGGGGGGGCAAGGCTAATTAACCCCACCCTCTTCTTTGATCGATCTCCTCCAAGATGGCCCCAAGAGGCGCCCAGGGGGCCCCAAGAGGCTTCCAAAAGGCCTCCAAGAGGCCCCAAGAGGCCGCCATGAGGCCCCAAGAAGCCCCCAAGAGGCTCCAAGAGGCTCCCAGGATGGTTCCAAAAGGCCACCAAGAGGCTCCAAGAGGCCGCCATGAAGCTCCAAGAGACCCCCAAGAGGCCCCAAGAGGCCTCCAACAGGCCCCCAAGAGCCCCCCAAGAGGATCCCAAGCGGCCTCAAGAGGCCCCCCCGAAGCACCCAAGACGCCCAAGAGCCCCCATTGACCGCCAAGAGACCCCCAAGACGTCCGTAGAGACTTCCAAAAGGCTTCCAAGAGGCATCCGAGCGGCATTCAACCATCCACCCAGCGTCATCATTCTCCTCATCCCTCCTTCGCTCGGTTCCTCGCCACCCCCTCTTCTATCCATCTGGCCTCCTCTTCCGCCTCATCCTTTGCACGGATCGGCTGTCCCTCTCGTTGCTCCCCCACTTCCCTGATCTCTTCAACTTGCCTGGACATCGTTTCTGGATGGGCTGGTGGGGACACGCGAAGCGTCAAGAATCCATATTTTTTGCTCCACTCCATGAATTTGGTCCGGTGGCCCGAAAACAGATATAACTGCTGGGCTGCCGCGTTTTCGCTGACAAGTTGCCTTCCACCTCCCCCGGCCATTATGCCTCCAGCGGACTGTCAACTGTCCGCAATGTTGGTGCCTTGCTCCGAGGAGCCCGCTGGACGTCGGAGATTCGTCCTTACATGTTCGTTCACATTGTGGAACTGACCCTCGCAATACATGCTGCGGCTCATGACCGGGAACAGAAAGGCATTCATCTTGTAATTCAGTCATAATTAACATCGTGAACGCCGCATCGTCCGAAAAAAAACGCCCTTGTGCCAACAATGGCGGCGCGCTCAAAGAGCAATCTCATCCCTCGCAATTTGAAATGGAGGCGGTGGAGACGTACCTAAACTATCCTGTCATAGCCTGCTTTGCACAATTCCGCAAACCAGTTCGTGCTCAGGTTATACCAAGCCTCTCGGACATCAGATAACGTCACGCCGAAGCCGGGGTCAGCTGCGCCAAGGCTTGGCGCAGCCGCGGCAACCGATGCTGCATCCATCACAGGAAAGCTGGTGCCCCACGGGATGTACCGCGCGCGCACGGGACACCGTGGTGCAAACCACGGGTTTCGCTACCACGATCTAGTGGCAGAAACCTCTTTTCCTGGATCCCGATGGAACTTGAGCCAACGGCGTCGGTCGACGCACGCCAGGCGGTCCCAACCAAGGTGTGTCCGCCAGGTTCCCTGCCATACTAGAACAGTGCACCACTCTCACCCGCTCGCAGGCTACACATTCACACCTCCTCTCCTCTCCTCCTCCTCCTCCTCCTCCTCGTCCTTCTCCTCCCCCTCCTCCTCGTTTTCTTCCTCCTCCCACTCATCCTTCGACGAGTCTTCCTCCTCCGTATCGATGCGTTTCCTCTTTCTCGACCCTCCTCTTTCTCGATCCTCCTCATCATCCGCTTCGTTATTCGGTTTTATTGGGCCATCCTCGATCCTTCTCGTCTGGGCGGGGTGCAGCAGCCTGCCGCCGCGCAGCATCGACGCTGAGCATGAACTGCGCCCCTAACTGCAACGCCGTGTCGTCGGCGGCCAAGGCCTCGGGCCGAATGGGTCGGCGTCGTTGTCATGGTCGCGGTCGTTGTTGACATAGTTGTCATCGTGGTCATTGTCATGCTCGTCGAACTCGTCGTCGTGGTCTGGGCCCGCTGTCGGCGGATGTGGGCAACAACCGCAGCGGTGAGTCTGGTTTGGTTCTAACGGCTGCTCCTCCTCCTCCTCCTGCTCCTCTCCTCCTCTTCCTCGCACCCTCCTCTTCCGCCTCTTGCCAGGCGCACGGATGTGCAACCTGCTCTGCCTTTGAGGGGAAAGAAGAACGTATGAATGCATTGTCTGGGGGTATTGCTGATGAGTGCTGCGACGCAAGATTAGTGATGTCCCGCGGGGGACAAAGCCAAGAGCATTCGTTGTATGACCATCAAATAACCCAGGAGTGAAACTTGGGTTTGGAGTTCTGGCGAAGTGCTGCTCGACCCACGTAACTACATGTTATGTCGCTGTGTCACCAGGAGGGATATGACCACGGAGTCGCCCCTTGAACGGCTTCCCCACCAAATTCCTGGGGGATTGGTGCCGAACGGAATAGGACCCGGCGGAATAGATTCGTGGCGGTGTAGTGCATTGTTGTTCTGGCGGCGTCGTCGTCGGGCCGCGACCCTTCCCCGACCCACCTGGGCACCGCTTCGGCGAATCCGAAAAAGCGGTGAAGCAGCATTTTGTCGGACACGCGCCCTCTCCGCAGGATGCGAACGTTCTGCTCTCGCGCGGCCAGGTCGCCCTACTGCAGACAGTGCCGTCGACGGCGCCCAAGAAACAGCGGGCCGAACGGGTGCACCCCGAGGGCAAGACAGCATTTGAAAAACTGATGAAATTTCGGAATAGTTTCTAAGGATCTGCCGTGTGGCATACTTGAAGACCAACCTTTTGGTCCCGCCGTTGCCTGGGCGTCGCCGACGGTCGGGCCGCGTGCGAGTCTGCGAGTTTAAATAAGCTCAGCGCGTCAGCCCTTCAACCTGTTCATGTATCTCGACTGGTATGCCACACCAGCGATTCATGACACTCGTAGTCATGACAACAACTTTCTTGCAACGACACGCGATTGGATGCACATGCGGACGGCCAGCGTTCTACGTGCATCCATCGGCGTGTAACATCAGCAGCTCATGGCACTCATATCAAGACGATGCTCCTGCAATGACACACGGAGAACATGCAACGTCACCAACGTCCGTCGATACTCTTGCCGTGGGCAAAAGCCCCTCCGCGCACACGTGCGCCGGGAGCCCTCCTCGTCCTCCTCTTCCATCTCCTCATCTTCCCCGTCCTCCTCCTCCTCATCCTCCGTCTCGTCCTCGTCCTCCTTCTCCTCCTTCTCCTCCTCCTCCTCTGCCCCTTCCCATCACTTCAACAAAAGAACGACGTTATCCACCGAAATGCCATCACTGCTGTACCTCCTCCCTCCTCGCCCCACACCTGCCCCAGCACCAGTAGCAACAGGGAGAAGCCGAGTCCAGTCCAGAAGCCTCCAGGAGGCGTCTTCCTGCTGCTACACGCACTCTGGCGCATCGTAGAAACGTGTGGCTATACCCCGCCGGGCGACAAACGGGGGATTGCGTTTCGGCTGTTTGGCTCCCGAAGAAGGTCCTCGAGTACCCTCAGAGCTGACAAGAAACTGACGGACATCTTAAGGAAGAAGAAATGGAACCTGAACCTGATGACGAGGGGAAACGCATAGGAAAAGTTGAGGGAGAGAGACAGATAGAGGGAATGAAGAGAGGTGGAGGAAACGCAGAGAGGATGGAAAGGAATGAAAGGATGAATGCGGGGGAAGGAGGGGGGCGGGAGACAGATGGGGGGGAGAAGACAAAAACAAACAAGGGGCGCGGAGGGTAGAGGTCGCCGTCGTCGTAAAACCTTCTTTTGAAATCGTTTTCCAAACCCCTCATGGCTCATGGGACCCACCTTGGCTATTTTTCGTCCAGGTTGAATAGTTGACGGCCCTGGGGTCCCAACGCAATTTTAAGACGTCAAAGAAAGCGAGCACAATCTACATGGTCGAATGTACTCGTGATTTTCCACGCAGAAGCCCGCCCCCGCTCGCACCGCGGGGCGTGTTGGCGGCGGCCTGGCCCGGCGGTGGAACGCCCTGGACCGGAAGGCCAGCGGCCTCGCCAAGCGGGGCCGCGAAGGGCCCTCTTCCCGCTCATCTCCTTCCTGCCTCCTTCCCGCCCTCCATCCCCTCCCTCACCACCTCCCGCCTGAATGATTACCGCTGGGTCTGTGCAACCTTGTCGTCGGCACTTCGTTGCCCCTCCACCTGAATACCCAGATGTCGTGGCTATCAAACATTGCCCTGCGACGTACCCAACCCATTTGCATCAAGCGACAAAGGCTGTTGCCCAAATTTGCCGCAGTTCACGTGGCACGATTCACAAGACAACGACAAAAGGATGAGGAACGATGGCCCAGGCTTGAGCAGGACATGTGGGCGGAAACGAAGGGCAACAAAAAATACGCGCGGGAACCGAATGGTCAGCGCGGCAGCCGCTGAGGAAGGTGGCAGGGGGCAGATGACGACGACGAGAGTGACTGGAGGAGGCCGAAAAATGTTGCTTTCGTCGGTAATACGCTAATGATGCAGCGTTGCCTGCGCCATGACGCCGCGGCGCTCCACAAAATGATAAAACCTGCAAATCGTTGGTGCAAGAAGCGAGCGAGGCCGAGCTCGCCCGCCAGCTTCACTGTTGCCTTCCTGCACTGTTCAGCGCGGGAGCTAAACACTCGAAGCGGCGCACCCAGGTCTGCGGGCGGCCCGCGACGCCCCGCGAACCCCCCTAGCAGCACTCGAAACTGGCGACAGCATCGCAGATCGCAGCCCCCCAGGGATGGCGAGGTCTAATCTGAATCTGGGTGGTGCTTCACTCCGCCGAAACCCGCAGCAGCCCTCGAAAGTGGCGACAGTTTCGCAGATCGCAGCCCCCCAGGGATGGCGAAGTCTAATCGGAGTCTGGGTAGTGCTTCGCTCCGCTGGACCCCCCAGCAGTCCTTGAAAGTGGCAACAATTTTGCAGATCGCAGCTCCCCAGGGATGGCGAGGTCTAATATAAGTCTGGGTAAAACGTCACTCCGCTGGGCACCACAGCAGCCCTCGAAAGTGGTGACAGTTTCGCAGATTGCAGCCATCCAAGGCTGGTCTGGTGACCTGGTGACCTGGTGACCTGGTGACCTGGTGACCTGGTGGTCTGGTGGTCTGGTGGTCTGGTGGTCTGGTGGTTTGTTGGTCTGGTGGTCTGGTGGCCTGGTGGTCTGAGCCTCTTGGGGTTTCACAATGGCTTCTTGGAAGCATCCTGGGGGTTCGTGGGGGCCTGGCGGGGCCGAGGACTCGGAGAATATGGTCGGTTCCTCCGCCCTTGGAGCCGTATCTGCGGCCTCTTGGGCGTCTTGGAGTGCTACTCACATCCTCGAAATGATCCGTCCTGCTACTGTGCACGCGCTCCGGCATGCACGTACAGGGACTTCACGTTCTGAGAGTGCTGCCCCCTTTTCCCATACGGTCCTCCTCCTCCATCCGCCTGCCGTGCCCTGGCCACGTGCATTCCACGTCTGGCTTCGAACGCGGTGAGGACTCTCGCTGCTGCGGCAAACAAAGTGCAGGGTCGATCTGGAAACTGCGGCTGCAAGTCGCCACTCTCAGCTCGCACGCAATCGACCCAGGGGGCCTGTGGTCCGTGCGCTGCACGCGGTGAATCCCAGGGGGCCTCTGGTCCGTGCACTTCAGTCCCTGCACCCCATCCTCCGCCTCCTCCCCGTGCGCCTTCCCCTGGCCGCCCATCGGCTCGCCTCCCAGCCTCGGAAGCCACCGGACAGGATGCCCACCTGGCCGCGACCGCGCGCGCTGGAACAAGATCGTCTCCTCTCTGCCGCTTGCCTGCTTCTGCTTCTGCTGCTCTTTCTGCTGCTGCTGCTGCTGCTACTCCTTATCGCCTCACTGCTACTGCTCCTGCTCCTCCCTTCTGCCGATACTGTTTTCGCTGCCTGCTGCCCTGATCCGTTGATGCCGCCGCTGCTGCTGTTGCTGCGTTCCTCTTGCCCCTGATCCGTTGATGCCCCTGCTCCTCTTTTACTTCCCGACCTATGGATCGATCTGAGCTTATCAGGGCATATCCCGACCCTCGCCCAAATCTGTCACTTGCATTTCCACACTCTCACGCTCCTTCAAATTATCCCGGCAAAGCAACCTAACAGCGATGTGTAGAAGCATATCTGAAAGCATTCCCCTTAAGATTCAGATGAAAATCCAGTTGTAGAATTCTGCTGTTCTCGCAGTCGTAGTCGCATTCGCGATGACAGTCGCAGCGGCAACGGCAGTCACGGCAGCAGCCTCCTCAGCCTCAGCCTCAGCCTGCCTCAGCCTCAGCCTCAGCCTGCAGCCTCAGCCTCAGTCTGCCTTCAGCCTCGCCTCAGCCTCAGCCTGCCTCAGCCTCAGCCTGCCTCAGCCTCAGCCTCAGCCTCAGCCTGCCTCAGCCTCAGGCCTCAGCCTCAGCAGCCTCAGCCTCAGCCTCCCTCAGCCTGCCTCAGCCTCAGCCAGCCTCAGCATCAGCCTGCCTCAGCCTCAGCCTCAGCCTGCCTCAGCCTCAGCCAGCCTCTGCCTTCAGCCTCGGCCTCAGCCTCAGCTGCCTCAGCCTCAGCCTGCATCAGCCTCAGCCTCAGCCTCAGCCTGCCTCAGCATCAGCCTGCAGCCTCAGCCTCAGCCTGCCTCAGCCTCAGCCTGCTTCAGCCTCAGCCTCAGTCTGCCTTCAGCCTCGGCCTCAGCCTCAGCCTGCCTCTCAGCCTGCCTCAGCATCAGCCTGCCTCAGCATTCAAAATGTGGCCCAGGAATGGAGTTCTGGGAAGTCGAAGAGCACGAAATGGCCTACAGTTGGCTACGGGCATTCAAAATGTGGCCCGGGAATGGAGTTCTGGGAACTCGAAGAGCACGAAGTGGCCTACAGTTGGCTCCGGGCATTCAAAATGTGGCCCGGGAATGGAGTTCTGGGAACTCGAAGAGCACGAAGTGGCCTACAGTTGGCTCCGGGCATTCAAAATGTGGCCCGGGAATGGAGTTCTGGGGACTCGAAGACCACGAAGTGGCCTACAGTTGGCTCCGGGCATTCAAAATGTGGCCCGGGAATGGAGTTCTGGGAAGTCGAAGAGCACGAAGTGGCCTACAGTTGGCTCCGGGCATTCAGAATGTGGCCCGGGAATGGAGTTCTGGGAGGTCGAAGAGCACGAAGTGTGTGACTGTCGGCTTAAAACGACTTCTGCGGCACCCTGTCCGGCACCCGCCCAGACCCCCCTGTGGAGTCATCTGCTGCTCTCTTTTGACCCCACTAGAAACCTATCAGAGCAAGCTGTTAGGTAAAAAACTCTTTGCTAGAACCACTGTCTTCCTCTCAAGGTCTAGGCTGGGAGATTTGCCTGGTCGCCCGTGGTATAGCGAGACTCCGTAGCCGGCTTGGGCATCTACCCCCCCGCCGGGCCAACGATCGATCCTCTTACTTCTGCCACCTCCGAGAAGGGAGCACGGGAGGGGGACAACGATTGGGAAGGGGAAGGGGCAGACGAGGACAACATTCGCATACCATCTTCAACTCACACGTCTTCCGGGTTGGTGGCCAACCAACAAGAATAACACGACGAAAACACGCATCAAGAGTCAGGGCCAACATCCCAGTCGGCAAAACAATCAATATCCAGCAGGAGCCTCCTACCTGTATCTATTTGGTCGCCCCCCTGTCATCATACATGTGTTTTCTTATTACAGTCGTTCTGTCTGCCTCAGTCTCTCTCTCTCCCTCCCCCTTTCTCCCTCTCTCTCTCTCTCTCTCCTTCCTTCTCCCCCTGTCCTCCTCCCCCTCCTCCTCCTCCTCGTCCGATTCCAGCAGAAAAGGTCTTCCCTCCACGAGGCGGAGGCAGGGGTAGAAGGAAGAGGAGGGTTGGAATATGTTGGCATAAACAAACAAGAAACACACAGCGAAACAAACAAAACAAACTAAATAAACCAAAAGCCCAGGGCTGGGAAACCAAAACAAAACACAACAGAAACCATAACAAACTATAACACAAACAACGAAGTGTTCAAGACAGACCCCATCCCCGCCGCCCTCGCAGAGAAATTGGTGCAAACCCTGGTTGTTTAAAATGTGTTGTGTTTCATTGTGTTCGGTGCTTGTTGGGTGTTTCAACCCTGGGTCGTTGGTGCCTTTAGTTGTTTTGGTTGTTGTTTGTGTTTCTTTTTTTTCTCACAATTCCCAGGGCGTCGGATGCCCCAGGAGGCCACAGGAAACCACTGGAGGCTGCAGGAGGCCTCAGGAGGCCACAGGACGCCACAGGAAACCCCAGGAAGCCCCACGCCATGTCGGCGGCCCAAACAGCAATCGGGCCGACCTGCGCTGAGCCGGAGTGGGCTGCGGGGGCGGCAGGATTGAGGCGTCCCCGTTGGCCACGAGCCCAGGGAGGTCCTCGACCGCCCTCCAACTTCAGCCGAGCGGCGCGACCCCCGTGGCAGGGACCACCACCAGGAGCCCGTCAGGGACAGACTGGGCGCGAGCCGGCGGCGGCGGTGCGGCGGCGGCCGCGGAGACCGCCGGCGCCGGCGCGGCGGGCGCCGCCGCCAACGGCGCCGCGGGGAAAGCCGGCGCGGGGGTCCCGGCCGCGGCAGGGGCGGGCGCCCCCGCGATGGGCAGCGGCGCCGCTGGGCCCCCGAGCGCCGCCGCCGCCCCAGGCGCCGCCGCCAGCACAGCCGCCATGTTGAAGGGCACGAAGGCGTCCGCCGGCACGGGCGCGCTGGGCCCCCCAGCGGCAACGTCCGCCGCCGCCCAGAACCTCCCAGCCTCGTCACGGGCCGCGCCGAGCACGTTCGCCATCACAACGCCCGGTCGTCACGGAAGTGATGCACCTGGGCCCGCGGGATGCGCGGCGCGGCGGCGGCGGCCAGCGAGCGGCAGCGAAGACCACCTGCACGATGTCCCCCCCGAGCAAGCTCGGACGATAGTCTTCTTCGAAGATCGTGCACGTCCAGGTCCGGCGTGCCGATGAGCGCGTCACCGAACTCCTTCTTCGAATGCGCCGAGCGACGGCGCCCGACCACCCGGCGCTGGCGGTGCACCGGGGGCCCCGCAACCCCGTACAGCACGAACGCCCACTCCATGACCCGATGAGGCATGAGCGCCACCACCGCGCCCGCCGCCGCCATCAGGAAGAGCGACCGAGCCGTCGGCGGCCGTCGGGCGGCGTCGCAGGTGGCAGCAGCCCGCTGCCCTCAGGGCCAGCGCGCGCACCAGCATCCCCCCGCCGAAGCCCAGTAGGGCGGCCACGCGTGCCACAACCCCGCTGGGCGGCGGAGACCTCGGGGGCACAGGCGGGGCCCCCAGGCACGCCGGGCGCGCCGGGATCTCAGGGAACTTCGGACACGGCGGCGCTGCCGGGCAGGCCAAGCCCCGCCCAGCGCAGAGTCTCCTGCGCCAAAAACTCCGCCAGCCCTGCCTGCCTGCATGGGCCGCCGGAGGTCTGCCGAGGGTAGCCGATTCCAGCGCAAGTTTTCGAGCTTAAATCGGTGCGGACAGGGCGCGGCCGCTCTCTGATGCTGCAATGCGTTCTTCAACAAAACATAAACATATGTATACATATTTACGGATATATAGGAAGGCCCCCCACACATGAGCTCCGACCCTTATCAGAGGAGGCAGCGCGTGAAGCGTGACGGAATGAAAAGGCGCAGCCTGTTACGCGATCAGAGAAGCCATGGCGTCTCTCGCGGCGCCTGCGCGGGCCGTTGCCCAGTAGGATGAAAGATCCACGGCGCCAGTGCCCCATTGCATCTGTACTCCGACTCTTATGAGGGGAGGCAGCGCGCGAAGCGTGATGGAATAAGAAGACGCGACCTTTTTACAGGATGAGAAAAGCCACGGCGTCTCTTGGAGTGCCTGCGCGGGCCATTGCCCAGTAAGGCGAAAGAAACCATGGCGTCTCTTGGCGTGCCTGCGCGGGCCATTGCCCAGTCTCTGGAGCCAACGCGGCCCTGCGCACTCCCCCTGCGAAGTTGGGCCACCACGGGTGGGTGGGGGCGCAGCGGGGCCGAATCTTACGCGCAACGAACACCTGTTGCTGAACGTCGAGACGCGTGCCGATGCAAAAGATAAGATATTCCGAAAACCACATTGCAAACTCTTCCTTCTTAGGAATGCCCCTTGCATCTGTGCTCCGACCCTTATCAGGGGTGGCAGCGCGCGAGGCGCGACCGAATAAACGACGCAGCCTTTACAAGATGAGAGAAACCATGGCGTCTCTTGGCGTGCCCACGTGGGCCATTGCCCAGTCGCACTCCCCATTCCAGCGATAGCTACCACTAGAACTCACAAAGACAAACAGGAGTCACTCACTCTGGGCAACACCCCACACCCGAGACCCAGCGTTGCAGCATCGGTATGCAGAGCCACGCACCAACAGGAATGTCAACACATAGGCGAATCCAACTCACTTCTCCTCGGCGCAAGCACTCGAGCGGAAGGGTCAGAGATCCATCTCCCGAACCACGCGGTATCAGCCAAAAACACTCTACGGGCGAGCAACTCGGCCGCGCCACCGCGGCGCTATCCGTGTGCGGTCCAGCGCACAGCGCCGAAGCCAAGCGCGCTTGCCGCTGCCTGGAGCCATCGCCGCAACTGGGTGTAGCCGACGCGAAAGACCTCCCCAGGCCTGGCAGGATAGAGAAACGAGTAGTGGTTGAACCAGGCCACGGTGGACGGCTCTTCACAGGGCACCTTCTGATCGGCACCGCGCTTCGCGCGGCCGAGCAGCGCCGCGCGCGCCGTGGGGGCGCGCGCCCAGGTGGGGCCGTCCAACGTCAGCGCCTCTGAGGCGTGGAGCAGGCCAGCGACGCACATCAGCGCGCCCGCGGCGCCGCCGCGCTCCCCGGCGAGCACCGGCCAGTTGACGAACACGAGGGCCAGCGCCGCGGGCATGGCGGGGGCCTGCTGGGGCGGCCGCCGCTGGCCCCACGCGCCCAGCGCCACGCCCAGCGCCATCCACGCCGCGCGGCAGTGGCGGCAAGGGCTGGCCTCCGCAAAAACCGCCAGCAGAGTGCAGGCCGATCCCGAGCCTTCCACGCCGCCCGTCTCTTCGAAGAGATCCTCCAGGCGCTCGGCGAGGGCCCGGTCGAGCTGCCCCTCGGAGAGCTGGCCCAGGCCGTGGCCGAGAGCCTCGAGGTCAGAGCCGAAGGCGCTAAGCGCGGCGGCGTACCTTAGCGCGGTCGCTGGCTGCAGCGCGCTCGTCAAGACGGCGCGGGCGCGCCCGCGGCACCTGCCGGGGCCCTCGGCCACGGCGCGGCAACTCTCGCGCCCTCGCGTGAGCCTGCGCGAGAGAAAGTGCAAGGGCCCGGCGCAACTGCGAAGGGTAACAAGCAATATGCGACGCGACAAAGCCCCCGCCAAGTGCCGGGCCGCACAGGCTCGGACGGCGACGACAGCGATCGCAACGACGCCCCATGGCGCCCCTCAGCGCGGCATCATTCGCGGCGACCGACGTTGGCTTCAGGCGAACAGCTCCATAACGACACTGATCGAACGACACTATATTCAGCCCGAACTTTGCCGCCCACCCCACCACCTCCTATGAGCTCCAGAGCGAAGGGAAAAACTCTTGCCCAAGGTCCTGAGGACGCCCCTGCCCTGCCCACCCCCCACGAAGAATCACCCGCGTCAGTAGCTCGAGGCAGAAAAAGAAGAGATGCGTTCCCAGTGCACAGGCGCGTCTCTCCGCAACTGGCAGTCCAAGCGACGGCAAGAACGGCCGGGCCCTATATTGCAGCGGCCCCGCCCCTCGACGCCCGCCCGACGGGCGGCGCCTGGCCCGACTGACCGTGGAACAGGGCGGCCCAGCGAAGAAGCCCACCGCGCCCCCGCTGCTGCGCAGCGCGCGCAACTCGGCGGCCAGGCCGCCGCGGGTCAGGTCAAAGTCCTCGTCGATGGCCAGGTCGTAGGCCAACGCCTTCACCGCCGGCCCAGCGGCCTGCGCCTCCTGCCCCGCGGCGCCGCACAAGCCCCCCTGGGCGCCTCGGGCCAGAGCAGCTGCAGAGGAAAAGAACCTCGCGGCTGCCCCGGCCCAAAGGAGTTGAGGGCACGACCTCCAGGCGCGGCAGCGGCTGCGGCGGCTGCCGCGGCTCTCGGCCTGCGCGGGCGCCATGCCAGCTGCTCGGCTCGTCCGCGGGGTTCCTCTCGGCTGAGATGCAAAGGTGGAGGTGGGAGAAGCCGCCCGCCAGCTCGATGACCGCCCCGCGGCGGCAGCGTCCGTTCAGCTTGTGACTAGCGCTGCTGCCCTTGATGAAAGCCCACTCACACGGCGCGTTGAAACCAGCATGGAGCACTCGGCAGCCAAGATCTGACGGCCTGTGGAGACGGGCCTCCGTGCCCCAGAACTTCGCACGGGCGTCCTCCAGGGCGACGTGTCCTATGCTGCCAGGGCGCCCGACCTTGAACGGGCATGGAACAGGTGGAAGCGCCACCCTGCCAAGCGCACAGCGACCCTCGAGGTCAACGTCGATGCCGAGGCCGTCGTCCAACCTCGTGTAGGGGGCCCTGTGATCGGCCCACTGCGCGATGCGCCGCGCGGCCTCCACTGGCAGCGTCGCCCAGGCCCTGCCATGGCCTCCTGGCGCCGCATCGGTGCACGCCACGCGGGGGCACCGCTCGGCGTCCAGCTCCTGCTCGGCGAAAGGCAGCAGGATGGCGGATACCAGCAGCTCGTGCCAGGCCAGCGGGCACCAAGCGGACGGGCGGCGGCCCCTCTGCGACAGCGTCACCATCCAGGCGTAGACGCGCGAGACCGTGGAGCGCAAACAAGAGCGATACCTCTGGCAGTAGCCGTGTTTCCCGACCAGGCGCTCGACATCCTTGCGGCGCACCATCCGCTGCTGCCCGAGCAAAGTGAGCGCGGCCGCGAACAGGTCGAGGCGGCGGCGGCGAGTGGCGCCCACCCTGTGCTGAGTGGAATGGACCTCTGTCCCTGTGAACGCGGGCTCGTTCGCCGTGCTCGGCACGGCGATGGCCCTCCAAGGCTCGCGCGGAAGCGTAAAACGGGGCACGCGCAGCGTATGTCAAGGTCAAGCCCTGGGCACGAGAGGTGGAATGCGCCTCTCGGTCACGAGAGGAATCAAAGAGGGTGGTGGTGATGATGATGATGATGATGATGATGATGATGATGATGATGATGATGATGATGATGGTGATGATTCGCAAACCTCCTGCACGCCTGACTCTGGACTGCACGGGGAAACAAACGAACTAGAGAGGGAGAGAGGGGAGGGCGGAGCCGCAGCGCCTCTAGTAGCCGAGGGCGGCCAAGGTCGCGTCCGCGGAACAGACAACGGCGAGCGCGCAGACACGCTCAGCGAGCGCCCGCGCTGTCGTGCTGCGGCGCCCGCCCGGCTGCCGCCGGCCGTAGAGCTTCGACGCCGCCGCGAGGTCCGCAAGCGCGTTCGCTGCGCCAGCGCTCAGCCGCCCGCCCGGCTCGACGCTGATGCTGTGCTGCATGTCGGCGCCGTGGCGGGCCTCCTTCCCCTGGTCACCCGCAGCCGCCGCGGTCCCGGCGACTCTGCTCGCGGCGGGCAACGCGCTACCCAAGGGAAAATGCACGTTGACGTCGAGCCACCACTTCCACGCGGTCGCGGGGAAGCCGACCACGAGGTCCATGACGGCATCCTTGATCGACCCATCCGCGCGGTTGTCGTAGAGCTCCGGCACCCGGCGCTAGACGTCGATGGCGGCACCAGCAGCCCGCAGCTCGTCCTCAAGGCCGCGCACAACGCCAGTGTGCGTCCGCAGGCTGATGGTGCTGCGCGGGCACGCCAAAAAAATGCGCGGCGCGCCTGCCGAGCGGCTCGCCGCAGTTCCGCGTGGCCCTGGCGATGATGCTGATGTTGATGCTGCTGCTGCTGCTGCTGCTGCTGCTGCTGATGATGATGATGATGATGATGATGATGATGATGATGATGATGATGATGATGATGATGATGATCATGATGGTGATGGTGATGGGAGGAGGGAGGGTGGGGAGGATAACGAGAGGAGAAGAGAGGAGAGGAGAGGAGAGGAGAGGAGAGGACGCGGGGACTCTCTTCAAACGAAGACCAAACACAACAGCATGGTTGGGAACAAAAACCGCACACAATCCGCGACCAACATCGGCAATTCCTGAATGGAAGCCACCGCCTGAATTTTAGCAGGGGTCCTGGAAAAAACACCGCCAGCATCGACCTGGAACCAGTGACCGGACCGCTCACCGAATCGGCCCGAGACCAGAATCGGGAACGGAAAAACCCAGCCGCCCACCTAAATCGGATGCCTGCCTTTACCACTCTGTAAGTATCCGCTGGGACCCCCTTCAGTGCAAGCACTGACTGGAGAATCTCGAAGGTGAACATTGTAATGCTTGCGAAAAGAACAAGTGACCGTCGAGCAGTCACTACCACATTACGTAAAAAATCCGCCAGCCCCCGTGTGGGGCCACCAGGCTGTAGCCCGAAGCTTCGCATTTTCCTGTGCCAGTTGCAGCTTCCGGTTTCCACTGTTACAGTTCTGCTTCTTGCTGCTTACTGCTCCTTGTTACAATTCTGCTTCTTGCTGCTTACTGTTCCTTGTTGATGGACCGCGCGAGGGAGGGAGGCCCAAAACGAACACTTTTACCACGCCCTGGGAGGGTTCTCAGAATTTCAAGGGGGTAGAAATTAGCACCCATCACGCAGATCCGCAGGGTCAGGGTCCAAAAAACACAAGGGACTTGCCACATGTCTGAAATTCTGTTGCACCCCTCACGCAGATCGGCGGGGTCAGGGTCCAACATGATCGACCCACGAACCTGGAAAGGAATGTAGAACTTTAACGCATGGCAACGTTTTTAAAGACACCTGATTGGGTGACGGGCAAATGCAATGCTGAGTGTATCGATCTTGATGTACCGTGCCGAGGGCTGTGCTGTGCTGCACCGTGCTGAACTGCGATGTGCCATGCCGGGATTGTGCTGTACAGCGTCGTGGATCGATTCCTCCTTTGCATCCGAGTCCTGACCGAACTGATCTGGATCTTAAGCTCGAGCTGCCTGAACACATATTAGCTGCCCCAGAGCTAATTGACAAAGGAGCATGCCAGGAGGACGCGCCGCGAAACGTCCCAAGGGACGCGCCAAGCGACGTGCCGCCAGGGGACGTGCCATGGGGTCGCACCGCGGGACGTGCCGAGAGGACGCGCTACGGAACGTGCCACTGGATGTGCCACGGGATGTGCCAGGGGACGCGCCACGCGACGTGCCAGGGGGACTTGCCAAGGGGCGCCCCACGAAACGTGCCAAGTTGCAATGCTGAGTGTATCGATCTTGATGTACCGTGCTGAAGTCTGTGCTGTGCTGCGCCGTGCTGAATTGCGATGTGCCATGCCGCGATTGTGCTCTATAGCCTCGTGGATCGAGTCCTCCTTTGCATCCGAGTCCTGACCGAACTGATCTGGACCTTAAGCTCGAGCTGCCTGAACACATATTAGCTGCTCCAGAGCTAATTGTCAGGAGGACATGCCAGGAGGACGCGCCGCGGAACGTCTCAAGGGACGCGCCAAGCGACGTGCCAACGGACGTGCCATCGGGACGCACCGCGGGACGTGCCAAGGAGACGCGCTACGGAACGTGCTGGGGACAAGCGTTTCGCTCGAGACATCCGGTCAAAATCCTCAGAATTCCTGCGCGGGACGCGGCACGCGCGAGACATCCTCTGAACTCCTGCGAGCGGGACGTGAAAACACACTCGAGACATCCCCCAATTTTGCAAAACCAGCGTTTCGCTTGAGGCATCCTCATCAAATTATGAAAAACAAGCATTTCGCTCGAGACATCCGGCCACAATTCAAGGAAATCCGGGCAAAACAATCGAATTAGTCAAGACATCCTAAAAATTCCTGCGCGCGGGACGCGGCATGCGCGAGACATCCTCGGAATTCCTGCGAGCGGAACGAAACCAGCGTTTCGCTCGAGACATCCTCAACATATTATGAAAAACAAGCGTTTCGCTTGAGACATCCTGACAAAAAAACACAAGAAATCCTGGCAAAACGAACGAATTAGTCGAGACATCCTAAAAATTCCTGCGCGCGGGACGCGGCACGCGCGAGACATCCTCGGAATTCCTGCGAGCGGGACATGACAAGTATTTCGCCTGAGATATCCTCTGAATTCTGGCCCCCCACGAGGCCCCTGCTCGAGACATCCCCCAATTTTGCAAAACCAGCGTTTCGCTTGAAGCATCCTCAACAAATTATGAAAAACAAGTATTTCTCTCGAGACATCCGGCCAAAATTCAAGGAAATCCTGGCAAAACAATCGAATTAGTCAAGACATCCTAAAAATTCCTGCGCGCCGGACGCGGCATGCGCGAGACATCCTCGGAATTCCTGCGAGCGGAACGAAACTAGCGTTTCGCTCGAGATATCCTCAACATATTATGAAAAGCAAGCGTTTCGCTTGAAACATCCTGACAAAAAAAAAAAAAAAAAAAAAAAAAATCCTGGCAAAACGAACGAATTAGTCGAGACATCCTAAAAATTCCTGCGCGCGGGACGCGGCACGCGCGAGACATCCTCGGAAGTCCTGCGAGCGGGACATGACAAATATTTCGCTTGAGATATCCTCTGAATTCTGGCCCCCCGCGAGGCCCCCGCTCGAAACATCCCCCAATTGTGCAAAACCAGCGTTTCGCTTGAGGCATCCTCAACAAATTATGAAAACAAGCACCTCGCTCGAGACATCCGGCCACAATTCAAGGACATCCGGGCAAAACAAACGAATTAGCCGAGACATCTTCGAAATTCCTGCGCGCGGGACGCGGCACGCGCGAGACATCCTCGGAATTCCTGCGAGCGGGACGAAACCAGCGTTTCGCTCGAGACATCCTCAACACATTAGGAAAAATCAGCCTGGCGGAAAACCCAACCGTACGCAGTTGAGAGCGCCGCAATTGTGAATCCCGTCTGCGGTGGAGCTCTTTATGAGGCCAAGAACCGCGTGAGGGGTGTGCCGATGTATGGCGGGGAACGCAACGCGGAAGAAGACGATAGGTCTGATAACGAGAGCCTGAGAGCGGGTGAGTCTGAGCACGAGTGGGTCTGATTGTGCATGAATGTGCGTGCGGGGGAATCTACGTGGATGCGTGTCCACGCCCATATCGGCACCCCCCTTCGCGTGGATCGCCCCCGCTTCCGCCCGCTTTTTTTCTCCCTCTTTGCCCGCGCACTCCAGCGCCCAAGGCTGCGGGCGCAGCGCAGCACGGAGTCCCCGCGACGCGCGCTGGTCGCCCCGAAAGGGGCCCAGCAACGCACGCGGGTCGTCCGCTGCGCGGAGCAAAGTGAGCTAGCTGGCTGGCTGGGAGCGGGCAAGGCTCTGGGCGCCGGGCAAAGCGACGACGGGCGAACGAGGCGCTGGGCTGCGCGCAACGCGGAGTCCCCGCGAAGCACGCTGGTCGCCCCGAGAGGGTCCCAGCGACGCGCACGGGTCGTCCGCGGCGCCTGGCCGAACTGTGGGACAGCCTGGATATGGCGCGGCTAGGGCGGGCCGTTCCCCAGGTCATGCCTCGCGGATAAACTCGGTGAAGCCCAGCTCCCTGGCGAGGGTCGTGGCCCCCCTCCTACACCGCTTCGGGCCCCCCTGGTCAGGGAGTGCCGAAATGGGGGTGACGGCTCCGTATGGGGCCACGAAGCGCTGGCCTGGGCGGGGGAGACGCACGCGGACTACGCCACTGGGGCCTTCGGTGGAACTGCCTATGGGGCCACGAAACGCTGTCCTGGGCGGGGGAGACGCATGCGAACTGCGCCAATGAGGCCTTCGGTGGGGCTCCCCATGGGGCCACGAAGCGCTGTTCTGGGCGGGGGAGACGCATGCGAACTGCGCCACTGGGGCCTTCGGTGGAGCTCCCTGTGGGGCCACGGCACGCTGTCCTGGGCGGGGGAGACGCATGCGAACTGCGCCCCTGGGCCTTCGGTGGGGATCCCTATGGGGTCACGAAGCGCTGTCCTGAACGGGGGGGGGGGCGCATGCGAACTGCGCCGCTGGGACTTCGGTGGCGTTCCCTATGGGGCCACGAAGCGCTGTCCTGGATGGGGAGAGACGCACGCGAACTGCGCCAGTGGGACCTTAGGTGGAGCTCCCTATGGGGCCACGGAACGCTGTCCTGGGCGGGGGAGACGCATGCGAACTGCGTCACTGGGACCCTCAGTGGGGCTCCCTATGGGGCCACGAAACATTGTCCTGGGCGGGGGAGACGCATGCGAACTGCGCCACTGGGTCCTTCGGTGGCGCTTCCTATGGGGCCACGAAGCGCTGTACTGGGTGGGGGAGACCCATGCAAACTGCGCCACGGGGACCTTCGGTGGAGCCCCCTATGGGGCCACGAAACGCGTAAGGGGTGTGCCGAGGCTGATGGCGATGATTGTGACGATGACGGAGATGATGATGACGACGACGGCGACTGCGACGATGACGATGGTGACGACGATGATGATGCTGATGGTGATGACGATGATGATGATGTAGTTGGTGGTGATGGTGGTGATGCTGATTTTTTAAATAAAAAGACCCGCTTATCCCCAGCGTTAAGGTTTTTGGTATTTCCGACCTCGCTCCAGACCACTCGGGTGGCGGGGTGCCTCCGCGAGTGCAGACGAAGCCTGGCATGAAAGTCATGCTGGAAGTCGCTCTG